GTGTTAGAACAGTCAAACTCTGATACTCCCAGCATGACAGAGCAATAATTACAATGGAGTAAAAAGTACGTGAGCTTTTGACTGACCTGCATCCTTCATTAGCAACTGAACAGAGTCTTCCACATTGGTTGGGCCTGAAAAGACACAAATATACACTGGGTTTAATTTCAGTAACAAGGCAGAATCAATAAAATAAGCAATATAGCAGCATATCTATTGTCCCAGTATTGCTCTTTGACAGCGGAATGTATGTAAGGTATGTAACTGACAACTGGAAATTAAACAGGCACGTCACATCGGTCTTGCTTAAGCCATTTTGATGGGCTGTTCTCGCTCTCTAGTTGTATACTCAGGTTTCAAAATCAATAGATGTCTTCTTTCAACCATAGAATTACCCAAACTGGTGTTTTCCTTGCTCCAGCAAAACCAATTTCCACTCTGACACTTAAAATGAAAAGTAGCTCGAGAGACAGGGCAGAAGTGGACCTTGTAATCCACCCAAGCGAGCAATAGCACGACCAATTCAGCAACAGAACAAGAGCTACACACCAGTACCCCCATGAGATGAGGAGCAGTGTGCCAAATTTGCGTGTGTACATGACCGAGAGTTTAGAAAGGTGGACGTAATGACAGCCAATAGCAGAGTTCATACTGACTGTTAAGCTTAAATATTGAACTAAATCTGTGTTTCATCAACAGATGTGAATAGACTTGTTTGTACTATGCAAACTGCCTCAGACCATGTGTATGAGCAAATAATATATACTTATTTAGGTTTCCAGACTGATGTCACCTAAAATTTGGTCAAAAGTAAGAATATTAATATTTATTATTATATTATTATAAAGACTAAAAATATCTTCTTCCCATCAGCCATCAGGCTACTCAACACCCACAATAAACTCCAAGCTGACACTAAACACTGCCAATACTTGGGTGGGGATACAAAAAACCATGTCAAGTAATATACATATTCATATGAAAGGGCACGGAGAAAGCTCTACAACAGACATTTTATTTTTTCAATGCAATGCCCAATCACGTCACAAAGATACCATAACAGGCCCACATCATGTTGTAATATAGAGATTATAAAAATTTTAGTATAGCCCTTGCCCTTTGAGGGGAATTACGTTTTTTTGTCTTCATCTTATTCTTATGTTAAATGTATGAAAATTATTAAAAACACTTCATGATGTCATTTATCACTTGTCACTCTAGTTTCAGTTACAGCAGTGAGTTTCTTATCTTGACTGATACATGAGCCATACCTTCACCTGCTCCCTTCATACTCTTTTGGTCTACCTGGTAGCCCCCCCTGCACAAACTTTGATGTCAAACCTTTTTTTTTGTGCCTTCAATATCAGCCACAGTGCATGTCTCAGGGGATACAGAACTCATCTCCTCTGTTACTGGAGCCTGAGCCTTGCTTTTTTCTTTCCCATTTTTACCATTGTCATTTCAGAGGAAACACGGTGGACAGTTGAACCTTCTCTGGCACTATTTTTTAATCTTTTTTTTTTTTTTGGTCAGAAATTCTCCTGCACAGAACGTTCCAAAGTTAATGTTTCTTTATTTAGAGAAATGGAGGTGTTGCAGATTGTGAGCCAATCGCTAATATAAGCAGTGCAGTAAGAACAAACTCCAGAATATTCCATGAATCTGATGGTAGTTTTGTGTGTTTACTTTTTCTTCCACACTGTAAGTAAAATTTATATGCAAATATTCGTGACTCAGGGCCAATTTCTCTACTTACAGCTGCATGAGTAAGGGAATATACTGTAGCTGAACAGACGTATTCAACAGTCTTTACACAAGTATAACTTCTTATGCAAACTTCTTAAATTAAAAAAAAATCACTTATTTTGTAAAAAGTTGAAATTAAGATTACTTGGCACAAAAATTATTGTTAAAAAAAATTCTTAAAGTTTGTGTTTTGTTTCTGTGATACTTGCACTTTTTTCCCCCTAAAAAAGACCTCCTGGGATATGAATTGTCACATATTGGTGGGAGAAGTTGCACGTTGTTTGCTTCATTTTTGCCTTTTCTATTGTTTGTTTTAGTTTTTTTAAGGTTAATAACCAAAAAAACCCACTGTTCACCACAATCAGGCTACAAAATGATTTGTACAAACAGCCTCTAAAATGATGATAAACTGAATCTATTTATGCATTATAAAGATGTATGAGTGTGTTATTTTTAGCTAAATGTGTCCAATTGACTGGCTCCTGCCTATACAGTTTTCATTGCCATGATGTTAAAAATTCACTGGAATGAAATTAGACTATGTGATTTGTAGGTATAATGCTTAAACTGACCCTGGAGATTCTGAACCATATCCAGCAGCACTGGTGTCAGGGTCTGGCTGTAGTTGTGGAAGATATCCAGGAACAGTACTTCTGTGCAGGGCTAAATACAGAAATAAGTTAGAACAAATAAAAATAGAGACAGGTAGTTGACAGAATATTAACACATGCAGCATCACATTTAGCGCAAGTCATTACAGTTACTTTTTATAGGATCACAATTCTTTAGTCTCAACAGCACGTTGGGTTCTGCTGGGCATTTAGAGGTGGGATAAGGTGAGGAGTGCAGCTATCGCATTAATATTTGATAAGGACAAAAACAAAAGTCATACAAAAAGGTGCGACAAAAATAAATAAACAATACATTGTGTTCCCAGTTCAATAGAAATACAATCAATATAACACTGTTAGGAGATTTTTGTGGGTGTTTATGCTCAATAAAGAAACGGCCTAGACAACTTCATTAGTTTACTGGGTTAGAAAAAGCATATTAAAAAGGTGTAAGAAAGAGGTCATGGTCTGTGCCGTTTGTGAAAACATCCCATTTGCCACAATATCAGTGAGAGCTTATATACTGGTAGCATAACCGGTCCTCTTACACGGTACTTCAATCAGCTTCATGAGAATAGGACAAACAGAACAGATTCTAACTGATACAGAAACGATCCGTCCTGAGGTTCACAATATGCTAAAAAGCTGTTCAAATGCGTTTTGAGAAAAGAACAAGTCTGCCACTAAGCTTAGTGGTTGCTTATTTTAGCCTATATTTACATGCACAATTTTTAAAAGTAAGTGT